TTCTCAAAGCAAAACTCCAGTGTCAGTCTTGTATTCTTTATATCTGCAGATTTTGTAGGATAAACTAATACTTTTAATTGGGCAGGAGATCCAAAAGCCTGAAGTTGTCATTGGCCATGGCAGATAGTTAGCTCAACAGAATGTCTTTCTTCCTTTTTTCTTTTTTTTTTTAATAGGCATTAAAGTATAACACATGTCAAGGGGTTTTGTGTGTTGGCTTTAAATTCAGATGGCTCTTTTTGGGTCATTACTCTTTTGTGGAAAAAGAGTGTTTTAAACACTCCCTTCATACATTCCCTCCATTCAGAAAATCTCTTGGCACAATAAGCCTGGATGTTTCTGTAACTGAGTTCTAAGAGCTGCTCAAAAGAAGAGATATGAATTGTACTCCAGTTTGAAGAAATAATGAAAAATACACACCAATTAAAACAATTTTTTTTTTTGGGTAGAGACTGGGTCTCACCACACTCTGTGTGGCCCAGACTGGTCTTAAACTCTTGGCTGCAAGTGATCCTCCTGCCTCAGTCTTTCAAATTGTTGGGGTTAGAGGGTTAAGCCAGTGTGCCCTGCCCCAGTTTTGGCTCCAGTTTTTAAAAAGAGATGAAATTCATATAAACCTTAATGCTGGCAGGAACTATGCTTGTTTCTTGATAATGTTTTAACCTAAAGTGTTAAGTTAGCTCTGATTTGGTACTTAGTAAGTGCTTAATGGATTAGTCCATGGTAGCAGAATTATACAATGTAATGAATTTAGCCAGTCAGAACTTGAACTTTACCAGTTCACCTGGATTTCATAGCATAGATCCTTGAACTGGAAATAGGAATGTGGTTATAAAGAGTAGTTTTTAAAGCTGTACATAGTACCCAGAGAGAGAATGCCGTCTGATGTGGTTGTATCAGTTCAAGAGAGAGGCTAGAGGAAATCCACACTTGCTGTAGAATGGTCGATAATTGTATTTAGAAGAACGTGTGGAGCTGTTGCGTTTTAAAAAAAAAAATAAAAGTCACACATGCTGACTTTAGGTGCTTTTTTAATGGACATATAGCCTGTGTCATAGGGGAAAAGTTCTGTACATTCAGTAGTGACTTGGTGTTTATATATGAAGTAATGACTTCAGAAGATAATGTTTTAAAGACATTGGCAACAAACTGCTAAAATGTGCCCTGACTGGTTGCTGGCTGGCAGTCATGCCCTGGGACCACGTGGAAAAATGGAGACTCTGTAAGGTTCTTGGGATGGGGCCTTATCTCAGTTGGTAAAGGCTTCTAAAGGGGCTACAGATAAAAAACAAGATTGATGGTGACCCTCAGTGGCAAGGTGAAGGAGAAGAGGAAGACTCAAGCAGTAGCAGAGACAACACTGAGAATAGCAGATGCATTTGCGAATACAATTTTTTTGTTATGTTAAGAAACAATGACATTTGGTGTTTCATATAACAGAGTAAATACAGTTTTTCAATGCTATTGTATATTTAAGTTATGTTTACCAAACTTACCTAATCAACCAGGACCTTTGTCAAAAGAGATTGTTAAATCCCTCTATTTCCAGGACTAGGAAACTGTATTTTTAACAAGTGCTCCAGATGATTGTGTATTCTTAGCCAAATTAAAGAAACACTGACTTAAGCCAGTTAAGTAAACTTTAATTGACAAGTTGTTATAATTGTAAGCTTGTGTGTTATGTGGAATTTTCCTGTATGAATAATAGATATGACTATATCATGTGGCAATGGAAGTATGATAAATACTAATGTTGACAAGCTGTCAATACCCTAAAATTAGCCTTTGTGTAAAGTTTTCTCGTCCTGTAAGATGTATTAAACACCACGACGTGGAAGTAAAGACACACTCAAAACTTAAGCAGTGTTTGTGTCCCTGAGTGGCACAGTAGCTTGCTTTCTCTCTCCTGCTACTTCCCATCACCTCTTTTCCATTTCTCCTGCCCCTCTTTGCTCTCTTTTTTCTTTCTTTCTCATTCCCTTCATTTCCTCTTAGAAAACACATCCTTGAGAACAAGCGTTTTTGTCTTAAAGCATGAGTTAGCTTGCTAAATATAAAATGTAAAACCACCTATAATCCAATAAAAAATTAAAAAGAAAAAAAAAAAAAATGTAAAACCTAGGCCAGGCGCGGTGGCTCACTCCTGTAATCCCAGCACTTTGGGAGGCCAAGGCAGGCAGATCACAAGGTCAAAAGATCCAGATCATCCTGGCTAACATGGTGAAACCCCATCTCTACTAAAAATACAAAAACTAGCTGGTTGTGGTGGTGTGCGCCTATAGTCCCAGCTGCTCTGGACTGGGAAGAGAATCGCTTAAACCTAGGAAGCAGAGGCTCCAGTGAGTCGAGATGGCACCACTGAACTCCAGCCTGGTGACAGAGCGAGACTTCGTCTCAAAAAAAAATAAATAAATAAAACCTAAAAGATGACCATGCCTCTGTGGTTGCATCAGCATCTGAGCTTAGTTTTCCTTTCCAAGTCCTCATCTGAGTTAACTTTATGTGGACCAAGTGTGGTAACATCTTCCAATCTAGCCTCTTGATTTTCTTTGCCAGCTGTCAACCTGGGTGATCCTCCCACCACGGTTAATTTCTTGTCCTTAGTAATTCTTTATCCCTAGTCATTATGAAAGTTTGGTTGGTCAATTGGTTAGTTTTATATTATTTCTCTCTGAATGAAGCAGTTCTGAATACCTTCATCCTGCCATCTTAGCAGAGTTACTCCAATGAAATAAAAAAGATTTTAAGTGTAGAACCAAAGCCAATACACAATGTGGAAGGATCTTGACATTCTTTTTATTTTACATCCTTGTCTCAGAGGTGCTTTTCTAATTGTTAAATTATCTATCTTATTAGGACATTCTTAGTACTTTTGGTATCTGTATTTCCCATTCTGTTTTCCTTCTAGGAATCTATATCCTTGGGAGACTTCTCTCATCTACCAATATTTCTATTCACCTCAAGTACTGAAGCCCCTGCAGCTATATTTATATAGCTCAAGTTTTCTATAGATTTTACCAAAAGGCCAGCCTAAAGCAAAGTATCTTAAAAGAAAGATGCCTTTTCCTTTTGGTGGTTATTTTCACTTTAAATAAAAATCGTATACATCTTTATAATATTGTAATAAAACTGTAACCCAGCTCTTGTTAATGTTTTCAAAATGAGTCTCTAAGGTGACTTGTTTCTTTTATTTTTAAATAACTGGAATTTTTTTTCTGTTTCTCCAAACATTGCTGGTCTTTTTTTTTTTTTTCTTTTCTTTTTTTAAAAGTAAGTCTGGCCAGAGTTGAAAACCAAAAACAAATCATACTGTCCTGCATCTCTCAAAGAGTTTACAATTTAGCTAAGTAACACAGAAGTACATGAAAAGTAAAATATGTATATCAGGTACTAGCAGGTAATGTCAGAGTACCGGAATGGTACAGATGGTAAAATATAAATTCCTAATAAAGAGAGAGTTGATCATCTGTAAACTGTGAACAGATAGATAGAGCTGCCTTTCCGACAGAGGAAAGAATCTCTGGTATCTTCTAAGAAGGCATAGGCATGTCTATTTACTTCTTTTTCTCGTTTGCCTCATCACATTCCATTGTGACCTCTCTAGTTCTTTTGAACACTGTAATGCTTAAATGTTACTTCTCATGAACATGTTTAGGTTTTCCTGAGGATATTTCTGAGAGTCCTGAGTCACATAATCAGGATAGCTCATTAGGCTTAAGAGAGACTGGTATCAAATCAGAGTTGAACTCTCAGGGGACTTCTGCTTTCTGGTTGTTAGAAAATGGGAAGTTATGTTTGTTTGGGTTCCAGGAGTCAGAGCAGTTAGTTTTCCCTCCATACCCTAGAATTGTCCTTCCAAGTCTCACCTTTCCCATCTGTCCTCCTCTCCAGCACTAATAAGGTCAACTGATTGCCTAGATTTTGCCTAGGTGAAAGAATTTTTGCACATGGACTGGCAAGATGAATCACATATAAGGGTTAACCTCTTATTTATGGATAGACACACAAGTCTACCACTTTGACTGTGTACTTTCTGGGGCTCCCTTTGGTCATGCCGCTTGCTTCTGACATTTCTTCTTGACCCTGTTCTTTAAGATTGAAGTCATTCATACTTCAAGGCTTGGCTACCACTGTTAGACCATTATCTGCCCATTTGGATTTCAGAAGAGTAAGGGCCTTTCCTCTTTAAAAAGTTCCTCATTCTTTCTAGCCTTCCCCTCTTCTTCCCTCTGTTTTACCAATTTTGTTAACTATAGAAACCACTTTCGCAACCTGTCATCCACTCCCCAAACCTTGACTATGTACACACCATTTTATTCCTACTTTCTCCTATATCTTACTGAAAGGCCCATGGAAAGTTGATCTTCTACTCCTTGAGCATGACCTGGTCACAAGCTTCTGCCCTATCACCCATTTCTTTAGGAAATAAGATTAAAAAATGGGCTTCCATATTATATTCCCCTTAGAAGTCACAGTCATGAATTTATAGAGCACATTTGCATGTTATTGGTAATCATAATTTGTCTTACATTCAACAGATATATGTTTGCACATTTGGATTTAATCAGACCTCTGCTGTCTTATTTGGGAATTGGCTCTCAAATATGGCTTACTTTGGAGAAGTGTGCCATAGGCTTATATCGGTCTTTACCATTCAAGACTAGAATTAAACGTGTTTAGAATTAAACATGTGCACTAAATGGCACATTTTAAAGTTTTTTAATGGAAACTATTTTGCTGGACTATGCAAATGAGTCAGGCAAGCTGTTAGAAGGCCCTGCCAGAGATCAAGTTTAGTGTGTGTGAAACTGTTGTGTTTGACCCTGAGGGACCTTGTGTGAACAGTTTTAGGCTTCTACTGCTTTTTATTAATTCAGGGTCTGCTGTGTTTTTTATTGGTTAAAACTTGATAATAGTAAAACTTACAGCAGAATACTCGTCCGGAAAGATGTCCTACTGATGTTCATTTATTAAGCCTGCTTTCTTTACTTCCATTTCAGATTTGTCCAATATGTGCAGCATTACCTGGAGGCGATCCTAATCATGTCACGGATGACTTTGCAGCTCATCTTACACTTGAACACAGAGCCCCTAGAGATTTAATATCCTTTTAAGAGATGACAAGGAAAAGAGTTGTTTGTAATGTTTGTCATTTTGATTTTTCTGTTTTGGAGACAGGATCTCACTGTGTCAACCTGGCTGGTCTCAAATTTCTGAGCTCAAGTGATCCTCCTGCTTCAGCCTCTTGAGTAGCTGGGACTATAGGCATACACTTGCCACTGCATCCAGCTCGTTATTTTAATTATGTTTAAGGATAGTATCCCCCAAAAAAGGAAAACTGATTTCCAAATTATTTTTACTTATTTGAACTTTTCCTAAAAGTGACTCAGTGTTGAGATGCAATTTATTTCTCTTTTTATATACTATCACTATTATATGAACCATTTTCATTAAGTGAAAGTTGACTTGCCTTTCATCTTTAGTTCATTACAATTAGATCTTTTTTAAGGCAGTTTGACCAGATTATGTCTTCCAGGATAGCCTTTTCATACAAATTCGGAAAATGTTAATCCAAATTAAAATTTAATTAGTTAAATATGAAAAGCCATTATTTGCTTTCCCTCTCTGTTCCTCCGCTGCCTTACCCTGTTCTGGGTGTGGTGTGGTGGGATGGTGGGGACAGGTGTGCATCTTGGTGTTCCTTTCCTTTTTGGGATCCCATTCTCCGGAGAGAGCCATTTGCTGCCCAGTTCCTGAGTAGAATAGCACAAGGTCAGGTCTAGCTTTAATTTCTTTTTTTCTTCTTCTTCTTTGTTTTTTTTTTTAAGACAGTCTTGCTCTTGTCACCCAGGCTGGAGTGGAGCGCAGTGACAGTCTCAGCTCATTACAACCTTTGCCTCCTGGGTTCAAGCAATTCTCCTGCCTCAGCTTCCCAAGTAGCTGGGAAGCTGGAAAGGAGAATCATTTAATTCTTTACACCCAGCTAATTTTTGTATTTTTCAGTAGAGACAAGGTTTCACTATGTTGGCCAGGCTGGTCTCAAACTCCTGACTTCTGGTGATCCACCTGCTTCAGATTCCTAAAGTGCTGGGATTACAGGCATGAGCCACTGTGCCCCGCCTCCTGCTTTTATTTCTGCATTCCCTTCCCTGTCTCTCAACACTTCCTGGCAATGTTCCCTGAGATTACTGGTCTACCTAATTTGGTGGACTCAGTGCTTCTGGTTTCAGGTTATGAATTGTTCTTCTAAAATTATCACTGGCTGGGTGCAGTAGCTCACACCTATACTCCCAGCACTTTGAAAGGCCGAGGTGGGAGGATCACTTGAGCCCAGAAGTTTGAAACCAGCCTGGGCAAACAGGAAGAACCCGTCTCTACCAAAATAATGAGCTGGGCATGGTGACACATACCTGTGGTCCTAGCTACTCAAGAGGTTGAGGTAGGAGGATAGCTTGAACCCATGAGCTCAAGGCTACAGTCACCTCTGATGGTACCACTGCACTCCAGCCTGGCAACAAAGTGAGACCCTGTCTCAAAATACACACACACACAAAATCATACAAATTATCAAATATACAAATATAATAATCATATTATTTTCTCTAGAACCCAAACCATCCTCATGAATGTGATGGAACTCTGCATGGACGGTAATACCTGAAGGCCTCCTGGAGCTACCCATCCAGTCCTTAAATAACTTTAGAACCATCAGCTGAAAAACTGAGAAGCCAGCAAAAAAAATTCATCTGCATTATAAAGCTGGTCGGTTTGGTGCTTTAAAGGAAAAATCTCTTCTGTATGATCTGGCCTCCTCTACCTCTCATTTGCTTTTGTGGAAACATAGGGCTGTCTTTAAAGAGTTTTGACAGTTCTTTGTGACTCAGGACCTTTTTCAGTTCAACTCACACTCAGCTGTGTAAGATGGTTGAGGCTGCTGGGAATTTGACTTCGTGATAAATGTTATGTTAATCTTACTGTCTTACACAAGAAATGCAAATCTCTTTTGTGCTTAGCAGAGCCTTGGAAAAAAGCTTGAAGACAGATTAAAACTATTAATCCAAAAGGAATCTTTGGTGTGCTGAATTTAAATTCAGTATTGTTTCCTTTTCTTATAGATGGTAATTGAGATTTCATAAGCTATATAGATGAGATTTCATAAGCTATATAGAGAAACTTTCTTACCTCACACACCCAGTACACACATTTACGTGTTGCCTTTCATTTGAGTGTCTTTTTAGGTTAATAGCCCTCATAGGTAGAGTTGGGACATTTGCACTTTAAATTAAATGTGCTGTTTTTAAATGATTACAATTTATGAAATCTTGATATCTGTCTAGTAAGGTCTCAAGTGATTTTTTTTTTTCTACGAAATACTTTCATTTTTTTCTTAACTTTTGAGTTATGATGAGTCGAGTGGTGTTCGACATGTACGTAGAATGTTTCACCCTGGCCGGGGATTAGGAGGTCCTCGTGCTCGTAGATCAAACATGCACTTTACTAGCAGTTCTACTGGTGGACTTTCTTCTTCTCAGAGTTCATATTCTCCAAGCAATAGGGAAGCCATGGATCCTATAGCTGGTAAGTTAGTTTCACATTAATAAGGGAAATGGCAAGGGAAAGGGGAGCTCCTTTTAAAACTTTTTGTGATGTCAGCTGCAGTGGCTCACACCTGTAATCCCAGCACTCTGGGAGGCTGGGGCAGGTGGATTACTTGAGGCCAGGAATTCACGATCAGTCTGGCCAACATGGCGAAACTCCATCTCTACTAAAAATACAAAAATTAGCTGGGTGTGGTGGCGAGCACTTGTAATCACAGCCACTCAGGAGACTGAAGCATGAGAATTGCTTGAGCCCGGGAGGCAAAGGTTCCAGGGAGCCGAAATCGCACCACTGCACTCCAGCCTGGGTGATGGAGCGAGACCCTCAAATAAATAAATACATAAACATACATACATACATGCATATGTACGTACGTACTTTTTGTGAGATTTATGTTCTTACTCTGACCTCTCTGATCATAAGCCCATGTTCTTTCAGAAAATTTTCAAATACTTTATAAGTGTAAAATATGTTAAAAGCAGACACTTAACATAAAATAATTCATACTCTCCTGGCATTACTTAAGTCCAGTAGTAACCCTCTTATATGTGGTTTTGCTCTCCCGGGTTTCATTCACCCACAATCAACTACAGTCAAAAAATGGCTGAGTCCAGGTCAGTAAGATACTTGAGAGAGAGAGAGAAAGACCACATCACATAACTTTCATAGTATATTGTTTTGTTTTGTTTCGTTTTTTTGAGAGGAGTTTCACTCTTATTGCCCAGGCTGGAGTGCAATGGCGTGATCTTGGCTTGCTGCAGCCTCCACTTCCTGGGTTCATGCAGTTCTCCTGCCTCAGCCTCCGGAGTAGCTGGGATTACAGGCATGAGCCACTATGCCTGGCTACTTTTGTATTTTTAGTAGAGACAGGCTTTCTCCATCTTGGTCAGGCTGGTCTCAAACTCTCGACCTGAGGTGATCCACCCACCTCGGCCTCCCAAAGTGCTGGGATTACAGGAGTGAGCCGCCACACCCTGCCTTTTCATAGTATATTGTTAGATTTACTCTATTTTATTGTTGTGAATCTCCTGTGCCTAATATTTATAAGTTAAACTTTAACACAAGTACGTATGTACAGAAAAAAGCATAGTATATGTAGGGTTCGGTATTATCCAGATGTCCATTTCAGCCATTCACTGGGGGTCTTAGAACATATCTCCTGCAAGTAAAAGGAGACTGCTCTTCTTAGAGACATAAGATGATTAGAAATGTTTTTATGTTGTATTTGTGGCCTCTATTGAAGCCCAAGAAAATAATAAAAGATTTGAGTTGGAATATCTCCAAAATTTCATGGCCAAACCTCCATAAATACACATAAAAAATGTCAAAAGCACATTTGGAATTAAGGTTTTATAAGGTATAGCTAACATTTTTAAGAACATAGTTTCTGTCAAGATTTATGCCTATCAATGCTTGGGGTGTTGTGCCCGGTGCATCGGGGCTTCCAGGTACACATGCCACCACATGGACACATTTCAGGACTATTACCTGTAGCTAACTGACAAGACTAAAGAATTAAGCTCTTCTCATGGAAGAAAGGAAAGTAGGACTTTCTGTCTTGGCCTTGATTTGAGAACTATATTGTTGTAGAAAGTTATATGTTTTAATAGCTTGGGAAAAATCTAACTGAAAATACAAACAGTGTTTGAACCTGGCATGTCACTGAGTCTAGTACATGACAAACGTGGGAAGTTGGTAGCAGAACGCAGGATCAAAATAAAATACCAGAAATTACTGTAGCCTGACAACCTGCAAGACACACCAGGCAGACAAGTGGTAAGACTGTGGAAAGTGTGCACAAATTTAAAGCAACAGTTCTGAAATATGTCCACGTGGTAAAGTGTGCACCTACCTGGAAGCCATGAGGCACCCAAACTGAGAACATCAGAGCTAAGTGACATCTTAGGAACACAAAGGAAGAGAGACAGACACTGGAGAAGAATGGGAGGAGAAAGAGGAGCTGAAAGATAACTGTTGGGCACTGGGCTTAATTGGGTACCGGATGATATAATAAGTACAGCAAACCCCCGTGACGTGTTTAACTGTGTCACAGACCTTCACATGTACCCCCAAACCTAAAATTAAAAAAAAAAAAAAAACCTAAGAACAGTTTTACACCTAACATGTTATTTAAAAGTTAGATATATAAAATTTTAATTCCAAATGTGCTTTGGACATTTGGGTGTGCAACAACACAAACAAGCCTAATAAACTGAATTTGGGGGATTTAAAAAACATTTCGTCATCCCGAGGGAATATTTACCTGCTTGTTGGCAGACACTAAAAATTAGTTTCTGGGAGCAAAATTCAAAATTGAGAAATTCTCTTCATTTGATTCTTTTTCTGTCAGTGAAAATCAGTTTATTTTAGTGATAGACTGTATATTCCATGAAAGAGTGGTATAAGGGTGCTATAAAAGGCTTGGGATAAAGCAACAGTGAGCAAGAAAACAGAAACTTTTAATGAGTTTTATTGATAAAGAGTTTTGGCTGGCCTGAGAGTGTCTGCAAGGCAGACTGGTTCCCTGAGGTAGGTAGATCCTCCACGTGGAAGAAGGCATTTCACTGCTCCTTACTTAGATGAGGATGCGAGGACAAAGGTTTACACCTCTCTTAATGAGTACAGCTTTACAGACACAAGGCAATCTGGATCATAACAGGCCTCTAAGTAGGCTGTACAGTCAAATGCGACAGGTTCTTGGGAGGCTGTCAGCCTTACTGAGCACTGCTAGTGGTCCCTCTACAGCGTACTCTGTAACAGCAGTACCAAAAGGTACTTGAGGGAGAAGGCAGAGGTGAGTGTACAAGGGCCACCATCACAAATGATCCAGGCCTCTTAGACTGAATCCTAATAATTCATTGAGTCATTTAGTAAATGTCTGAATTCCTGCTTTTAGTCATTTAGTAAATGTCCAGGCCCTGTTCTGAGAGCTAGGAATATAGTAAACAGTAGACCTCATCCCTGCTTCCATGGAACACTTATTGAGAGAGCTTATATTATAATTGGGCCCATAGATAAACCACTTCATTAAATACTAAGAGGAAGCTTAACTAAATTAGTCTCTTATGCAAATAATTTTAAAGACAATCTGAGTTTTTTCTAAGGGAGACATAATTGGGTCTGGGTTAATATTCATATGCATTTGCATTCCCTGTACACAGTAACTCCTGCCTCCAGAAGGCATTCTAGAAGGTATTCAGCTCTTAGCTAAACTGTATGCTACTGTGGTTACCTACTTGTTCACAGTGCTTTTGATGCTCTTCCGGTAAAAGAGTGATCTGTAGCATTTTGTTTTCCTCAGTATTAAGCAGACATTAATTGTCTCTTTCCATTGGCAGAGCTTTTATCTCAGTTATCGGGAGTGAGACGTTCTGCAGGAGGACAGCTTAATTCCTCTGGCCCTTCCGCTTCACAGTTACAACAACTGCAGATGCAGCTGCAGCTAGAACGGCAGCATGCCCAGGCAGCACGGCAACAACTGGAGACCGCACGCAACGCAACCCGGCGTACTAACACAAGCAGTGTCACCACTACAATCACACAATCCACAGCAACAACCAACATAGCTAATACAGAAAGCAGTCAGCAGACTCTCCAGAATTCCCAGTTTCTTTTAACAAGGTAGTTCATTTCTTAATAGAATTTTGTTTGGAAAGTAATATTTTATTGCCACTAAACAATCTGGAATTATCTTTTCTCTTTTGTGCATATATATTTCTTGAAAATTCTGTGTTCAATTAAAACTCACAGATCTCTGATTAAAACCGCGTATTCAGTATTTCCCCAAGAATGTGAAACATAATGATTATTTTAGATAAATTAAGAATACTGGGCCAGATGCAGTGGCTCACACCTGTAATCCCAGCCCTTTGGGAGGCCAAGGCAAGCAGATCACCTGAGCCCAGGAATTCCAGACCAGCCTGGGCAACACGGTAAAATCTTATCTCTACAAAAATTAGCCAGATGTGCACCCGAAGTCCCCGCTATTCAGGAGGCTGAGGCAGGAGGATTACTTGAGCCCTGGAGGCAGAGGTTGCAGTGAGCCAAGACTGCACCATGCACTTCAGCCTGGGTGACAGAGTGATACCCTGCCTCTAAAATAAAATAACTGATCTTCTTGTTCTCAAGGTATATATCATCATGTAATGTGAATTGTTTTGCCATAGTACCCATAAAACTTAACACTCTATCATTTTATATATATATATATGGTTCATATTAGGTGCATTTATCATAATTAACATTGCTTTTTATTGCCAATTTTAATCTGTTTGAAATATTAAAAGGTATAAGAAAGATTTCACAATGCAGTGGCAATTTTCTCCCGTGTATTTCTAAAAAAGCTAGATTTAAATTCCTATGGTTGGCACACAAAAGTAAGTGTTAAAAAAAATGGCTTCCCATGGTGTAAATAATATTCAGTACAGCAGTAAACTACTCTACTGGATGCAGTTCTGTTTGCCTCTGGAACTGTTAGCAACTGCATGTATTTGTCTGCCAAACCTTCCCAGGCATTTTATGTGACTTTTAGGAATTAAAAAAAGTTTCAAAGAAAGCAATGATAAGTAGAGACTTAGGTTCAACAGATAATGAACCTGAAATAATTTGGGCTTTTAAGGAAGCAGAGAGGAATGTAAAGAAAGAACTGTAAAATGAATAACGTTAAATACATCATTATCTCCAAAATGCAGTGTATATGACGATTCATTGGAATGTTAGAAGAAAACATAATTTCTACTTTATCTCATACTCTGTTAATACAATGGTGCATGTATATAGTTATAAATAACATATTATGGATACATAACAAAAAATGCTTGAAAATCCCTGGGCTAGTGCCCCAGCTTTGCCACTTACAAGGTTTGGACCTCAGGCAAGTCATTTCATTTCTCCAAACTTCAATTTTATCATCAGTCTCCTAGCAGTTTTGCCTCTAGAAAGAGAATTATTTTGAGGATTAAATGGAATTCTGGTATGTGTACGGTCTGGCTCAGTATCTGGCCTAGAGTAAAGGCCCAATTAATGATACTCATCATTCATTATGAAACCAAGGAAAAAATTTTAAATGGGAAATTTACCTTTAAAGAATCTCTGCAAGGTCAGTAACTCTGCCTGGTTATTACCAGAATGCTGCCTTAATGTAAGAAAAATCACAGAGCCACAGATGGAGCTACCTGCTACCATGTTTCCTGTGACCCATAGGGACTGACCAGCCGCAGGTCTGTAACATGCCAGATCTAGGTCCCTTCCTCAAAAAGGAGATCTGCTAGTGTGCATTTCTACTGAGAGTTCACAGGACTGTGGGTGGAATGTCTTGTCCATGCCCTTTGGAAAAGACATCTTCCCATCCACCCTTGCCCTATTCTTCTTTTTTTTTTTTTCAAGCTCCAAACTACTAAACTACTACTACTACTTGATCTGTAATTTTTTTTGTGCGTTTGTTCCACACCCAACTCTGAGAGCTTATGAGTGACCTCTGAGTCCTCTCCTTGGATTCTGGGCATAGCTTCTTGAAAGCTCCCTTCTATCATCTGATACTGTACATTGCATGGTGCCATGCAATTTGTGGACCACTTTCCACATCTTTTATTGCATCATATTTATATGATTTAGGCAATACTTCCTCAGAAGCATTCTCCTTCATATATTCTAAGGATTATATGTAATTACTTATGTTCTTCCATCCCCAATTAATAAGGTTGGAGAATGCAAAGTAAGAAAAATAAAGAGATTATTTACTGTTGGGTTTCTCAGAACTTTCAGATATATTAATATGCATTGTGAATTTTCTTTTTTTTCTTTTTTTTGGGGGGGAAGGAAGGCAGGAAGGAAGGGAATAAGGACGGTAGGGAGGAAGGAAGGGATGAAGGAAGGAAGGAAGGGAGGAAGCGGGGAGGGAGGGAGGGAAGGGAAGAAAGGAAATCAAGCAATGAAAGAGACATTGCCGACCTGGATCTAGAGGTTTACAAGTTGATTTCTCTTTTTTTGAGAGAAGGAAAGAAAAATAAATAAATAAATAAGTAAAGGAGAGGAAGAGAAAGAGGGAGAGTAAATGAAAATATTGCTTTATTTTGAAAAAAATTGGGTATTAATAATGGCCAATCAATGTTTCATTTAAACTTATGGGTAGGTGTGATGTGGTATTGACAAGAATGTATATTTTGTGTATTTGAAGTGGAGAGCTCTATAAATATTTATTAAGTTTACTTGTTCTGGATCTGAGTTCGAGTCCTTGATATCCTTATTATTTTCTGTCTCATTGAATCTAAGTCTCCTATCTGGGTGTTAGGATCGTTAGCTCTTGTTGTTGCATTGATCCTTGTACCACTATATCTTTGTTGCTTTAAAATCTATTTTATCTGATACAAGAATTGCAACTCCTGCTTTTTATTTACTTATTATTTATTTTTGCTCTCCATTTGGTTGGTAAATCTTTCTCCATCCCTTTGTTTTGAGTCTTTGTGTATCCTTGCATGTGAAACAGGTCTGGATGTAACATGCCGTTGGGTTTTGGCTGTGTCTTTTGATTGGGAATTTAGTCAATTTAAATTTAGGGTTACTGCCATTTGATGTTGACTGGCTGTTTTATCCATTCGTTGGTGTAAATTCTTCTTTATGTTGGTGCTCTTTACTTTTTGGTGTATTTTTAGAAAGGCTAATACTGGTTGTTTCTTTCTGTGTGTAATGCTTCTTTCAGAAGCTCTTGTAAAGCAGGCCTGGTGGTAATAAAATCTCTGAGTTCTTGCTTGTTCATAAAAGATTTTATTTTTCCTTCAGTTGTGAAGCTTAGGTTGGCTGGATATGAAATTCTGGGCTGAAGGTTCTGTTCTTTGAGGATGTTGAATATTGGCCCCCACTCTCTTCTGGCCTGTAGAGTTTCTGCCGAGAGATCTGCTGTAAGTCTGATAGGCTTGCCTTTGTGGGTAATCTGACCTTTCTCTCTGGCTGCCCTTAGTATCTTCTCCTTCGTTTCAACCCTGGTGAATCTAACAATTATGTGCCTTGGGGTTGCTCTTCTTGAGGAATATCTTTGTGGTGTTCTCTGTATTACCTGGGGTTGAATGTTGACCTGCTTTGCTAGTTTAGGAAAATTTTCCTGAATAATATCCTGAAGGGTATTTTCCAGCTTGGATTCATTCTCTCCGTCGCATTCAGGTACACCTATCAAACGTAAATTTGGTCTTTTCACATAGTCCCACATTTCTTGGAGACTTTGCTCATTCCTTTTTATCCTTTTTTCTCTAATCTTTTCTTCACATTTTATTTCATTAAGTTGGACTTTGACCTCTGATATCCCTTCTTCTGCTTGAACAATTCGAGTGTTTTAAGCCTGTGCATACTTCTCGGAGTTCCTGTATTGTATTCTTCAGTTCCATTAATTCACTCATACTCCTCTCTAAGTTGTCTATTCTCAATAGGATTTCATCAAACCTTTTTTCAAAGTTCCTAGTTTCTTTACGTTGGGCTACAACATGTTCTTTTAACTCACCGAAGTTTGTTATTATCCATTCCTTGAAGAGTGATTCTGTCATCAGGAGGCGCTCGTTCTCCATCAAGCCTTGTTCCATTGTTGATGTGGAACTGTGATCATCTTTAGAGGGAGAGGCGTTCTGACTTTGAGTATTCTCAGCTTTTTTACGCTGGTTTCTTCCCGTCATTGTAAAGGACATTATCCTCCTGTCGTCTTTGAAATTACCAACTTTCAGATTAGGTCTCTTGAGTGGACGTCCAGGTTGTTAGTTTCAGGGCCAGAGCAGCGGCGTTAAAACTGATGGTGCTTTTCTGCCCAGGATTCTCCTGTCGGGCTTCCTTCTTGTTTCCGTAGTAGGCGACTCTGCCTTCCCGGGGCTCCAAACCTCGGTCAGAAGGGGAACTGGTCCCATTTACTCTGTGCCGAGCACTGCCGCGTCGAAGTGCCGGCGGAACCGCTGCGCCGACCACGAGAGTCGCGCTGGCGACTCGTGTGTTTCCACCACTGGGGGATCTTCTGCTTCGTGAGCGACCAGACTTTGTCTGAAAGTATGGCGTCCTCTAGTTCTCCGTGCCTTCCCTGAGAGCTGCAAATCCCATGCCTTCCCTGAGAGCTGCAATCCCGGGATGTTAGCGATCGGCCATCTTGGATCGTTCTCCGCATTGTGAATTTTCAAGGCAAGGCAAATGGCTGTAGTGTATGCAAAGGAGATCCTGGTCTCTGGTCAGACAGCTCGTATATGATATATATAGAGCTCAAGCCTTATTTTTGGTCTTTTCTTTGACCAGGGGCAGTTCCTATTCATGCTACCCTGGAACTGATGGTAAGACCACAGTTTCTTTGGAATCTAAGACAGCTGACCTTTAGAACGTGATTGTTGGAGTGTGTAAGTCAGATCCTGTCTTTTTTTTTTTTCTCATTTTTAATTTTTTTTTGAGACAGAGTTTTGCTCTTGTCACCCAGGCTGGAGTACAGTGGCACAATCTCAGCTCACTGCAACTTCTGCCTCCCGGGTTCAAGCAATTCTCCTGCCTCAGCTTCCCAAATGGCTGGGACTACAGGCTCCCGCCACCATGCCCAGATAAGTTTTATATTTTTAGCAGAGACAGGGTTTCACTCTATTGGCCAGCCTGGTCTTGAACTCCTAACTTTGTGATCCACCCATGTCGGCCTCACAAAGTGCTGGGATTACAAAGGCATGAATCACCATGCCCAGCCAGATCCAGTCTTTTGACAGTGGGACCAGCTGATTTTGCTAACCCCAACTTGAAGATCCTCACAAGCCTTGCAGTTCCATTTATATCCTAAATTTTATATTTTATCAGGAAATCAAGACCTAGTACCAGTACCTCATACATAGACTTGACCTGCCTTTCAGGAATGAGGTGTCTCCTCAGTTATTTCCACAAAAATCAAAACAGTAATATTGTTACTGCATGCTCGCTCTCTCAAAGGCTGAAGGCTCCAGCCTGTATGTTCTTAGTTTGCCTCATTATTACGTGGGGAGTCTTCTATATATCCTTTATCTTTCTGTTATAGGTTTAACTTCTCTAGAGATTTCTTTACCAAAGTCCTTTTCCAACGCTAAGAACGTGGAATGTACTTCAGTTCGTAACATTTTTATAGCTTTGCGTTGAGAACATGTAGTCTACTCAGTCTTCTATTCTATTAGATACTCTCTTACGATATCCTTAATTTGTTTTTAACCAGCAATGTAATCAGTCATTTTTTTTTCCAATATGGATTTTATGGCTTTTCTGTAATTACCTTTCAGATATTTTTGCTTTCTTTCAGTTCTGAAATTGATCTTTTGTCTTAGTCGTAGATACCTAATTATTCAGTGGTTTTGAACTTGGTGTCTATGAGATTTTGTGCAAATTACTTAACCTTTGCTTCAGTTTCCTCTTTCTGTAAAATGGTGATGATAATAGGCCCTAACTCAGAGGAGTTAAATGAGCTAATGCACTCAAAGAGCACTCAGAGCCTGACCCATCATTAGTATCATCCATGGTGACTTTGGGATGCTCCTGTGCCTTGCAGTGCTGGTAGCACAGCAGGAAGCAGGTGCCAGGCAGTAAGGGAGCATGGAATATATCTGTCTCTGGGCTCCAGATGCTGCCTCTAGGTCCTCATGGAGAAGACCTGTCATGTGTGCCTGCCAGGCCTCCTTTCAGTGTACCCATCTTCTCCTGTGTTATTCCTTTTGCTGCCCCCATTGCTTGTTAATTTCCCTTTCTTTGCGACTGAAAGTGTAGAGGAAATAAGTATAGAAACTAAGCAGAATTTTGCATCATTTTTGGTTGGAGATTGACTGGTTTTTTGAGAGGGGGTGAGGAAACAAAGTCTCACTCTGTTGCCGAGGCTGGAGTGCGGTGGTGCAATCTCAGCTCACTGTAAGCTCCACCTCTCAGGCTCAAGCAATTCTCATGCCTCAGCCTCCAAAGTAGCTTGGATTACGGGTGTGCACCATCATATTCTGCTAATTTTTGTATTTTTAGTAGAGGCGGGGTTGGCCAGGCTAGTCTTGAACTCCAGACCTCAGGTGATCCACCCGCCTCAGCCTCCCGAAGTGTTGGGATTACAGGCGTGAGCCACTGCACCCAGCCAGAAATTGACATTTTAAAGTAATTTAACAAGTTCAGTAACAAGTGGTAAGTAGAATTTTCAACTCTTAACCATCTGTCCAGTCTTTGTGCACAGCCAAGTTTCCCAGCATAGCCCAGATCTCGTAAGTGCATACATCAGGTGAGCAAAGTCAGGCAGGTAGACCTTGTGTCTACCTGCTACACTGTAGGTCCTTGGTAAGAGAAATGTAGAAGATTTTATGTGTTTTCTTGCTCTCTCTGGCTTCTGGATATACAGGAAGAATTAAATCCAGTAATAGAGAAACGTCAGAGGAAATTTTAGGATATTTTTCAGTTGAATATTCTGTTGACTGTAGATTTTTTGTGTTTTACTTTCTTTTTTTTTGTTTACCCCCAAATGAAATTCTGGTTAGTTACTTTCCCAAGCATCTAATCTATAAGAAATCCTGTTTTCCTCAGAAAATTTTCACCTAGTTTTCTCTGGAGTGGGAAAAGTCTATATGTGTGGGTTTTTTCTCATTGAATCTAAAGCATAGATTTGCAAAAAGTGTGAGGAATTCTCAACAATTAAGGATAAATTAGAGCCAGGTATTCCAGCAATGTCTTACCCTGAATTTTGCCACCTGTAAAACTTGCACAGTGGAGAGCACTGTAGAAATTGGCCATGCCATTGTTCATTGACTTCTTACCAATAAGGTCTTTTCTTTTTAACTTACACAGGTTGAATGATCCTAAAATGTCTGAAACGGAGCGCCAGTCCATGGAAAGTGAGCGTGCGGACCGCAGCCTATTTGTCCAAGAGCTCCTTCTGTCCACTTTAGTGCGTGAAGAGAGCTCGTCCTCAGACGAGGATGATCGGGGGGAGATGGCAGATTTTGGTGCTATGGGCTGTGTAGATATTATGCCTTTAGATGTTGCTTTAGAAAACCTAAATTTAAAAGAGAGTAATAAAGGAAATGAGCCTCCACCACCTCCTCTTTGATGACATCCCAATTCGCAGACAATGTCCTCTGTGCTGTATTTGCCAATGAAAGTGGACAACAACTATCTTGGGTTTGTTTGGTGATTGTAATTTCAGGTCTGTCACTCTTGTTACATTGTGTACATTCAAAAGGAAGAGAGAAAATATATATGATAATCATTTCCACTTAACTAATTTTTACTTCTAGCAGGTAAATGTAGGTAGCAGTGCAGGGGTGATCTCTGCTTCCTGTACCTTGACATGCAAAAGGCTCTCCTAATATTCCACATTCAAACTGAAGAGGAAAATTGAAATCTCTAATGAAGCTGCTGTGTGTATTTATGAATATTAATGAATAAAAACTGCTTGGATGGTTTACCTTAACTACTGCATGAGGTTTTTTGCAGCGTGCATGAGTTTTAGTGACCTTGTTATTTAAAAAATTAAATACAAGGAGTAAAACTTAAAAAAAAAAAATACAAAGCCCAAAGCTTTCCCAAACATTATTCAGTGGTTACACTTCGAAGTAGCTTTTGAATAATGTCTGCCTGAATCACCTTTCTTTGTGTGCCTCCTACGCACAAAGCCAGCTCTGCAGTGGAATCTAGGGATTGTAGCCGGGTATGGCACTCCGCCCTGTGTGACTGTCCTGTCGCCCTGTTAGTCATCTTGCCTGTGTGGAGCTCAGCCTGTCTCTAACTCATCTATAGAAGACACACCAGTAAAGCTACTGTTGGAATCTGCTGCAGGGGTCTTTGTGTGCCCCAAAAACAAATCCTGCTCATGTTTGTTTAAAGTTTTTACTTTTTGTGGTTGTTTAAAAATTTTTCAATTGTTAAATATGTTTTTTTCAGGTGTAGATGAATTTCATTTGTTCAACAGAGTTAACCTGAATTATGTTGTCTTTGTTTTTAAAAATCTCACATTCTCAATCATACTTTACGTTATTTATGTATTTGCTTTGTAGTTTGCTGAGAGAGATCAGTATCAGGGGAGCTTTGAGGATTTGCCTTCCCAGATTTGTCAATCTATTACAACAAATTCTTAATGCTAATTTTAGCACCTTTTATTTATTGGGGTTTTTTTCTGGCATAAAAAGTAAAGCCTTTTAATTGAATCATGCCACATATGCCTATATTATTAATGCTATGTGCAAAAAAAATGTACACCTTTTTTGGGGTTTGTTTTGGGGTTTGGAAGGGCTGGGTTATTTTTTATTTCGTGTTTCGGTTTTTGTGCATAGACTTTCACAATAGCTCCAAGGCAGGGACAGTGGGTTTGGGGGTTGGGAGGGCAGTTTTTGGAATGTAAATTTAGGACTTTTAAAAAGGTGCGCACAGCTTCTGATAAATTTATAACTAGACTTAACCTAATCATGTCTCGTTCCAGTTCTCTTTTCTGAGCCCTTTTCTCAGTTTCCTCTCTTTCTCCCGTCATCCTTTTCCTTTCCTGTCCGTGCATCTCCGTTTCTCCAACATGACAAGCATACAGACTTAAACACCCCTCCGGTGTTCTTCCGAGAACTGTGAAGTCCATGTTCATCCAAATGTAACCAAAAAAGAAGTCACCCTACATGTCTGAAAAACTGTTGCTTCTCTGAAACTTCAGACTCCAGTGATTTCCAAATATAGCTTTGTTTTCTTTAGTTTCTGTAATGGAAAATGTTTAAAGGAAAACTTCACCAGGCTTCTGGTTACACTAGAAGTCAAGTCCATTAGGGATTTTCATTTTCATTTTGTTTTTTGTTTTTTGTTTTTTTTCAGTTGGTTGTTGAGATGTTTCAAAAATCAGTTTTCAAGCTGTGGTCTTTTCAAACACATCTGCACATAAGTCACACATTTCAATAAAGCATTTTCAAGACTGTCGACCACTTGAATTTCTTTAGTGTTGTTAACCTAACCATTACTCAGAGATTTTATATCTCTAATTCAGTATTTTTTTTCTTTTTATGCTAAACATGGGAGATCCTGGTTTTGTGTGAATGCATTATTTTGGATGTGAGAAATAAATGCCAATTATGTACTTTTCCCTTTTCTGCACAAATTCTGGGAAAATGTAAGAGCCTTCATTTTTTAACATGGTTTTAGGAGCAGTTTAATTTAGATGATCACTTTAACACTTCAGAAGACCTAAAGATTCATAAGATTCCATCTCATGTAGAATACTGTATATTAATTATTTTTTACCAGATATTTTACAAATACCTCATCTCATCATGTATGTAATCAATAATGTATTATTTTAGGGTAGAAAGACACAGAATATCAATATAAAAATATATTCAAGCCCTTGAAATTCTTGTGTCCTTTTTCTTTAGTTCTGAATCAAAAGCTTATTACTGGATGTACTACTGAATAAAAATCAATTGAAAAGACTGATGGACAGGAGACAAAATATACCATTGTTTATTTTGGCTGCACCTTCAAATCTCTAAGGACCAGATCTTGAATTTTGAGAAGTTTCTGTTCTATTGAGATTTGAATGTCTAGGAGATAAGTTTATAAATGTTCTGTAGTGCTTGTCTTTACTTCCTGTTCAGAAACCATTTAAAGCTTTCTGCTCAAGGTGCTCTGGAAGGAGTTTAATTTCAACTCTGAACAAATAGAAATAGCTGTACTTCCTTGTATGACTGCAAATAAGATAGTTTCTATGGTTGGCTACCATGAAATCTATGTATTTATATTGCATTGTTCTGTTTAAAAAAAAAAATCCGCAGAAGTAGAACCTAATCTTGCTACTAAAAAATTAGTGGATTCTTATTTATAATCAGGCTCAGGTAAAGTAAGAGAAAGCTTCTTTCTCTGTGACCCCCAGAGAAATGAAGTTTAGGGTAGCAGATTACGCTATTAGAAATAATAGACGTAGCAAAAAAAATCCCATTATCCCCGCCCCCCATTTTTCCCCTCAGTAGAAATTTCAGTAATACACTAATAGAGTTTCAAAGGTCACCAGGCTTTTGTATTTTTTCCGGTCTGTGGGCCACAATTAAAAACAAAGAAGGGTAACAGGTCCAGAGTTCTCTTGATAGGTCAAAGCCTAAGTTTCCAGAAAAAAAGCTAGGCCCCTCAACAGCAAATACTATATTTTACATGGCTGTTGGGATAAGCACACATGTCAATAGTTCAGAACTCTAGTTAAGGACAAATAAGAAAGTGGGATGAGGGGCAGGAGAACAGTAGACAGAGATGGTAGCAGGCAGCTGGAGATCTTTTGGGATCTTTTGAATGGGATTCCTGTAACTCAGTGATCAGTACCAGTATTAAGACTACTGTAAGAGGGGTCTAACATGGCTTAATGATACAGGCATATATAAAAACCAGGGTGATGGAGGAATTGGTGCTAAAAACTCTTTAACATTAGATTTGTAGAGAAGCCCTGCAGCAACGTTTACTATAAATGACATGCCTGTTCTTATTTGCATGCGCAATTTAAGGGACACATGCAATATTGGTTTCATGTGCAGTAAAAATTAAAACACAGCTGCTCATGGTGGTTCACACCTGTAATTCCAGCGCTTTGGGAGGCCGAAGCAGGCAGATCACGAGGTTGTGAGTTCAAGAACAGCCTGGCCAACATAGTGAAAGCCTACTAAAAAATACAAAAAAATTACCTGGGCGTGCTGGCGCATGCCTGTAATTCACCTACTCCAGAGGCTGAGGCAAGAGAATCATTTGAACCCAGGAGGCAGAGGTTGCAATGAGCCGAGATCATGCCACTGCATTCCAGCCAGGGCGACAGTGCAAGACTCCATCTTATAAAACAGTAGGTATGAAATTTTCCCAGAAATATATGGAAAAGTTGGTGTTCATGCTGGCAAAAGGTAATGGTTATCTGTGCTCTTTCTAAAGCTCAACTAGACACTAAAACAGTTCTCTCCTTGAGATTGGAGGTGTGATTGGGTGGGCAGGGGGAAGGGAAGAGGCTGGGGAGGAGGCTCTCTCATTTCAGCCTCAGCGATAACAAGCCCTTTGTCCGGCCTGGAGTAGGTAGAGGTTAGGGTTGGGGTGCAGGATGGAGCAGCAGGCTGCAGACTGTCAGGTTGTAACAGTGTCATGAAATTGTGTGGTATTAAACGTGGCTGTGTCTGAGTAGTAAGTCATTGCAGTATTCCAAAGCCAAATTCAAGTGACTGTTTTTCAGAATAGTATAAAAATCTAATTCCTTGTGCTCGTCAGTTTCAACCATGCTTACGCAATGTTTGTTTCTAATTGGTACTCTTGCCTCTTGGTTTCTGTAGTTTTTCAACCCATCTCTGTCAAACGGTGTTCTATAAATGCATACATTCATTATTTAAGGAACCCTGCAGCAGAGCTCGAATAAGATGTGACTTGTTTGTTACCACTTCCTTGACTTAACAAATTCAAGTTTTGAAAGATGTTTCATCCCAGAGAAGTTGATCCTGAACCTCAAATGCACATCACATTTTAGTTGCTATCAGGTGGGTAATGCCTAACACGGGTTCCTCACATCACAAAGGAGAATGTTCTCAAGTCCTCAAGTGAACTTCAGTAAGTTAACTTTACAGCAACCAAAGAGATCAATTAAAGAGAATCCTTAAGTCTGACTGTCCCAGGTAACTTTCCTTGCTGTACAGCTAGATAGTGCCCAGGTATGGAATAGTGCTGCACATGCTTGATTTGAAAGCCCATGTGGTCCGCAAGTGCACAGCCCGGGGCTGCTTTCCACAGGACTAGACAATGGTGTTTCTCTTCAAGGAGGCCTTAACCAAAGGGACCCCAGCATCTGACTGTGTCCTTGGCAGACGACTCGTGTAGCCTATAGAACGTTGGCCTCTCTGTCTACATAAACCATCGGTTCCCTGCTGTCTCTCTCATCCATGTATTTTGAGTTCCCAGGAGGTATGAAGCTTTGTCTAAGCATTATTTAGATGTGATTATTTAAGTGGGATTTTTACAGACCTCCCCTTTAAGAATTTTCTAAAAGAGCATTTCTACCTTACACAATTGAAATATTTTCAAAGGTCACTGAGCCTGTTGCCTTTGCTCAATCACGTGACCAATCTGAGCTGGTGAGTGAGCTGCCTGCCCCCTTAAATCTATCAAATTAGAATGAAAGCGTTTAGAATCTGCCTCACACATGAGAGATCAATATTAATTTAATAGTGAAGTCAGCCCAGAAGCAACCTCTTCTGTAAGCTGGATGGAGTCCCAGCTCTCTCTCTCTTTGTAGATATTCTAACCACACCCTGTATATAAGGTTTTCTTGAGGTAGATGCAGCAATATTACTGAGGTAAGATTCTGTAATACTCCTGAGTTGGCAAGTGGATTGGACTAGCAGACACAGGCCTCAGCCGCTGTCCCTAGGGACTAAGGGAGAGTTTGTGGATTCTTACACCCTAGTCAAGTAAGCTATTCTGGCCAACCTTGAATGCATTTAATTTTGCCCACAAGAACTTCTCATGACAATTAACAAGTCACCTAATTTCCTCATAAAAACCCATTTTTAAATATGCAGTATGCTAATTAACAGTGTGTTGAATTGCCCCATCGGATAGCAGCCACTCTGTGTGCTGACCACTCAGGATTCAAACTTACCTTGGAAAATATAACACTGGTGATATAGTACTTTAGAGTAAATTGCATATTGTACCAGGCTCCCAGACTAATTTGTACTGAAGTCTTGATATAGTTTTGTTTTTTGTTTTTTGTTTTTTTTTTTGAGACGGAGTTTCGCTCTTGTTACCCAGGCTGGAGTGCAATGGCGCGATCTCGGCTCACTGCAACCTCCGCCTCCGGGGTTCAGGGAATTCTACTGCCTCAGCCTCCTGAGTAGCTGGGATTACAGGCACGCGCCACCATGCCCAGCTAATTTTTTGTATTTTTAGTAGAGACGGGGTTTCACCATGTTGACCAGGATGGTCTCGATCTCTTGACCTTGTGATCCCGCCTCAGCCTCCCAAAGTGCTGGGATTACAGGCTTGAGTCACCGCACCCGGCCCGATATAGATTATTTTTTAATAACATCACCACCTGCCACCCAGCTCATCTGTTTTTTGATTTGGATATATAAACTGTGTTGTGCATGTCACTTTCCATTGCATTAATTGGGATAGTGAAGTGTGACTTCAGTATTGTCATCTTAAGATGTAAGTAATGTTTGGCCGGGCACGGTGGCTCATGCCTGTAATCCAGCACTTGCCTGTAATCCCAGAGCTTTGGGATTGGCCAAGGTGGGTAGATCACCTGAAGTCAGGAATTCGAGACCAGCCTGGCCAACATAGTGAAAGCCTGTCTCTACTAAAAATACAAAAGTTAGCTGGGCATGGTGACACACATTTGTAATCCCAGCTACTTGGGAGGCTGAGGTAGGAGAATTGCTTGAACCCCAGGAGGCAGAGGTTGCAATGAGCCGAGATCATGCCACTGCACTCCAGCCTGGGCAACAGAGTGAAACTCTGTTTCAAAAAAAAAAAAAACAAAACTGTAAGTAATGTTCAATACAGACTTGGTCATCTGTGGCACTGGTGTTTCAGCTGTTTTGTGGGGCATTTCTATAGTTTTTGTTTTGTTTTGTCTTTGAGATGGAGTTTCACTCTTGTTGCCCAGGATGGAGTTCAGTGGCATGATCTCAGCTCACTGCAACCTCCACCTCCTGGGTTCAAATGATTCTCCTGCCTTGGCCTTCCAAGTAGCTAGGATTACAGGTGCATACCACCATGCCTTTGTATTTTTAGTAGAGATGAGGTTTCACCATGTTGGCCAGCCTGGTCTCAAACTCCTGACCTCTAGTGATCCACCTGGCTCGGCCTCCCAAAGTGCTGGGATTACAGGCGAAAGCCACTGCACCTGGCCTCATTTCTATAGTTTTAAATGCCCTGTGAAATAACCTGTTTCTTCTATTGTC